GTTTTTGCATTCATTGCTTAACTCTCATTTCAGAACCTTTTTTCATGTATTCACTGAGCATCCCCTTCTACCTAGTAAGCTTAGATAACCCTGAGGTGCTCAGTATATAGTAGGTGGTTAGATCTTCTTTTTTTTTCTTTTTAATAATGACTGTCTTTAACTCACTTATATAGTACCTAGCATACTTTTTGGCTTTTAGTTATTGCTTTTTGGTTGTATTAGTTACCAGCAGTCCCACATTTAAGGAATACTTTTCTGATAGTTGAAGATAGCTCAGCATTCAGTATAAAAATCCTTTACCAAACTGGTTCTAATCTGAATAGCCTTCAGAGGCTCACTGACCCAAACCAAATTCTGGAACAGCTTTGAAATTATAGGAGTTTATAAGCTCTCCTGTATTCTGAGTTCAGATCTTTAGGAGTGCATGTGTATGTATGTGTGTAGGGGGTATGGGGGGCTAAGTCAGAATCAGGTGTAGAACCTGGGTCAGGATCACCTAAGCTGAGCTTGAAATGATGACTGGGAGCTAGACCAGAGGAGGGAGCTGGCAGAGTGTGGGATCTCATTGAGGAGCAACAAGTTGTTCAGTTTGGCCAGAGCATAAAGTGCATACAGAGGGACTGTAGAGATGGCCAGATAATAAAGGGTTTTATAGATAAAATGCTGACTTTCACAGCTCAATATCTATACACAGAAGAGTGAAATCAGAGCCCCACCTGACACCATACAAAAGTTTACTAAATGTGGATCAGAGAGCTAAATGTAAGGGCTAAAACTATAAAATTGTTAGAAGAAAATTCAGGAAAGAAATCTTTGTGACCTTAAGTTTCTTAACTACAACACTAAGAGTAATGACAAAAAAAGCCAGATTGAACTTCACCAAAATTAAAAAATTTGTTCCTGAAAGGACACCATCAAGAAACAGAGGGCTGAAGGAACATAAGGTAACAATAAAGGCACCTGCACACCTTTGTTTATTGCAGCATTATTCACAGTTAAGCTGTGGAAACAGCCAAGATGCCCCACTACTGATGAGTGGATTAAGAAAATGTATTTATATACAATGGAATTTTATTCAACCATAAATGGGTGGAACTGGAGACATCATCTTAAGTAGTTAGCCAGGTTCAGGAAGCCAAAGGCTACATGTTTTCTCTCACATATGGCATATAGGCCCTACACAAATACAGCAATACAATATATGCATATAAATATATACAGAACATGCATCCCAAAGTGGGGCTAATAGAGGAGACTAAGGGAGGAGGAATAGAAGGAGAGAAAGATAGCAAATAACAATGAAATACACCATATCTGTGTAGAAACAAGACACAACAAAACACACTGGAAACTGTTGAACAATACAGGATTGGGGAAGGGGTTAGGAAGTACATTGGAGGAGGATCAAATTGACTTAAACACAATACATTACAGGTAAAATACCAAGGCAAAAATCCCACTGAACAGCAGACAGACACCTAAACAGTAAAGAATAAGAATGTAAAACAGGTTACCCTAAGGAGAGGGCACTAACGGGGCAGGGGTGTAAATGAAGAAAGTAAAGAATATGGGTGATGTACTCTCTATACAAGTATGAATATGGAACATGCAAAAACTAAATGTTAAGAAGAGGACTAATGTGGAAAGAATAATGGAGGGGATGATCCAATTCAGGATATAATACATGTATACACATAAGGAAATGTAAAATGAAACTCCCTGTGTAATCATCATAAACAAAGAAAAATGTCTTTTTTTAAAAAAAAATGAAGGACAGGAAGGTGAAACAAGTCCTGTCCGGGGGTTGGTACCAGTGGGAGGGGGAGAGGGCATAAGAAAAGGGTGGAGGAGGGCAAATATGGTGGAAGAACTATTCATGTATGAAAATGGAACAGTGAGACTGATTGAAACTGTTCTAAGAAGGGATGGAGGAGAAAGATGGAGGGACTGAATCTAACTAAGATACATTGTGAGCACTTTTGTAAATGTACCTCTAATGCAATTATAATATGCTAATACAAAAAAAAAGAAATAGAGGGCAGGGGGAGTGGCTCAAGCTGTAGAGCCACCTGCTTAGCAAAGTGCACAGCCCTGAGTTCAAATCCCAGTACCTCAAAAAAAAGTTTTTCTTTTGAAAAGATGGGGAATGGAGTGTAGCTTAGTGGTTGAGTGCCTGCCCAGCATTCTGAAGGCCCTGGGTTCACCTCCAGCCCCTGGAGAGGTGGAATGGGAATAAATGATTGAGTAAGCATTCTTTGAAAGAAGACAAGCCTGGTGTTGTTAGAAGGATTTCTTTGTTAATGGTGCTAACAGCTCTTGTCAGGTGATTCTCAGATTTTCACCAACCCAGGGTGCCAGCATGTTGCAAGTAAGAATAATATGTAGCCCAGACTGGCCTCAAACTCCAAGCCAGGCACTGGTGGGTCATGCCTATAATCCTAGCTCCTTGGGAGGCTGAGATCGGGAGGATTCAGTTCAAGACCAGCCTAGGAAAATAGTTCTTGAGACATCATCTGCAAAAAAATAACCAGAGCAAAATGGACTTGGCGGTGTGGCTCAACTGGTAGCGTGCCTCCTTTGCAAGTGCAAAGCCCTGAGTTCAAACCCCAATCCCACACAAAAAAAAAAGCAAACAAAAGAAAACCCCTCTTGAGATCCTCCTGCCTCATCTTCCCTGCTGGGAGTGCTGGGATTGCAGGTGTGTACCACCATGCTTTGCATAATATTAATAATGCTTTAAAGACCCTTCATTAATAAACATGAATTTTGATGAGGTAAGGCTCAGAAATTGAAGCTTCCTGAGGTTTCTTTTTTTTTTTTTTTTAACTCTCCCTTCCCTTTTTTTGTGAAATGTCTCAATGCCAAATAAATTGCATGTTGGAAAATATTTCAGACAGCATAAAAAGCAAAAAGAACAGTAATAATTTTAGTTGTCTAGTATTTTATTCACTCTAAAGAATCATAATTTTGAAACTTTTATCCTTTAGAAAGTCCTGATATATCATTTGAAATACTGCATTCACTAATCAAGCCGTAGTAAACATTGACTTTGGTAAACTATGTATCAATCATTATTTTTCTGCTAATTGTGTGTTGGTATTAACTATTAGTAAGTCTGCTCTTGGCCTAGTATGATGTGAACAGCAATCATTTTGGACACACAATTTGTCAATAGAAAGTGTGCCCTCCTGTGGTCACTGGGAGTAAAAGTTCAGCTGCAGACAATCACCCTAGCTTTGTATGAGCTTATATTTCTCTACTGTGCATAACAGAATCACCAATACTCTGAACTTCTTTTGAATTTAACACATAAGCAAACATCAAAAAATAACCCATGGTCTGATTTTAAAATGCTGCGACTATAGAGGAGCACCTTTCCTTATTTGAACAAATCCTAAATAAGATGTGGCTTGAAGGATGGAGTATAGAGGAGGAAAGATGAGGAGGATAGGCACGTGGTAGTGTTTGAGATGCTTTCTGACTAGAGCTGAATGCTTTCTGGGTATAGTCTGCCTCCTTTACAGGCACTCCCAGAATGAGCATTGTTTATATAATTCTTCATCCTAGGGAAGGAACAGATACTACTAATCCGGTGCTGTTTGGAACATCTGTTTCATTTAAGGGGAATTTAAATTTAGTTTAAATAAGTGTCCAGATTTGGCTTGTATTGCCTCTAAGTGGGCATAAAAGTTTTTTTTTAAATAAATTATGGGGAAGAAATAATTTTGAAAATGAGTTTTCCCTGAAAATTACATTTTGATTTTTTAATTTGTATGGGGAGATTGGAGATCTTTTTAATGTCTTTGTTCTTCAAGTTAAGAGATTAAGTCTTGTGTTTTTAGTGACGGCTGTGCTTCCTATCCACCTTCTTAGGTATATGCTGATATTTTTAATGCCCTGGTATTCTTAGCAGGATTCCTTTGTTAATGGTGTCACGTGATCCACAGATTTTTTTCACCAATCCAGTACTGCAAGTAGGAGGAATCCTGGTCATGTGAGCAGATCTTTCTGTGACCAGGGAATTGCATGTATGGCTCTGCAGGGTTGGATATGAAAACTAGTTTACATTTCACTTAATAGTTTAAAATACCATTTTGAAAATTCTGATCCGGTTATGAAGCATTTTAAATTGGCAAAGAATTATTGCCATTTTTATGCAAATCAAAAGATAGATTCTGCTTATTTAGATATAATTCTGCAGTTGTTAATACCATAAATCTAATATTATGACTTGATTTTTTAAAATATGTAGCTTGCAAAAATATGTTTGTGTTAAATCCACTTATTTGACTGTACCGTACATGACATGGGCTTAAAAGGATGCACGGGAGCATTTTTTCATAATTATGTGATTGCATTAGCTTGTCATAGTCTACCTTTTTGGTTTTGTTTTGTTTTGCGGTACTGAGTTTGAACTAGGGCCTTGTGCTTGCTAGGCAGGTGCTCTACAACTTGAACCATGTCTCCAGCAAGATTAAGGTTTTTAAATGAAAAAAATTTAAGGCATGTTAATCACCTCAAAAATTTTACCAGACTTACAGTGAATGGCTGTGTAATGCAGTGCTTATAATGCATTGCATTGCACTATAAAGTCTGGAGTCTGCCTGGGTTTGAATCCTAGGACTGTCACTCGTCCAGTATATGACCTTGACAAGCTCTTTAATTTCTCTATGCTTCTGTTTCATCCTTTGCATCATAGGTGTAATATTAGTTTCTGCCTCTTAAGAGTGCTGTGAGGATCAAATGAATTAATATAAAATCACTTAGAATAGTGTCTGTACATACATACTAAGGTCTGAGTGTTAGCTGTTGTTACTGCCAATATTAAGTTTATACTTAATTAATGCTGCAGTCTTGTGAAGGATATGGTAGTTTGTTTGTAAATATAAATCACTTCTGTATTTCTTGCTTTAAAATATTTCTGTGTAATTGAAAGTAAACAGTAAGCTAAAATGCCATTTTAGAAAGTTTTTTCATCATAATCTCTTTTCTTCTTCTAGGCACGGAATGTTAACACCGGTGAATTAGCAGCAATTAAAGTAATAAAATTGGAACCAGGTAAATTATTTGAAATTTGATATTTCTTATTGCTAAAAAGTTACTGAATATTTCAAGGCTTATGTTATTTTGTTTTGTTTTTAGTTTAGTGAGACAGGCTTTTACTTTGTAGCTCAGGCTAGCCTGGAACTCGGTATGTAGTATAGACTGACCTTGAATTTGTAATCCTCCTGCCTCTATTCCTAGAGTTCTGGGATTATAGGTGTGTGCCACCCACAAGGCTAAGGCTTATTCTAATAATGTTTGGTTAACATTCTCTTATTTTTCTCAGCATCTTCTGGAAATAGAACTGATTGTCTGCTCTTTCTTCCGCCTCTTTGAGACTAGCAAGCACCTTGCTCAGTTTCTTTCCTGAAAAGTAATTGATAATTGGGGGAAGGATGGGAGCTCCTGAAGAGATTTTGTTCCTTCTGAATTCCATGGAACTAACTTGTGACAAGTCTGTAGTGGAGTGTTACTAAGTTAACATTGTCCTGTGTTGAAGAGGCAGTGTGATGCAGTGGGAAGCACTGATTTGAGGATTTAAGAAGTGTCTAGTCCTTTGTCTCCTACCGCCTTGCTCTGTGAACTTGGGCACCAAACTTCAGGCCTCTGACTCAGTTTTCTCAGCACGCCTAGCTCTCACACCTATGCATCAGTGATGTCTTAATAATTAACTTTCAACTCAAAAATAACTATTGTAAAGTCCCTTAGGACTGCTTCATATAGTTTGTCTGCTTCAACTTTTTCTTCCTGTGGAGAATCAAAACCCACATCTTCCTGAGCTAAGTACTTCTATTCATCTATCAGAAACCCCGTTCCACTACCTCCCAAGTACTTTAGATTTTGTGGGCCATTATGATCCTCCCAAAATATACAAAACCATTCTTACCTGGAAAACCATTCTTAGAAAACCAACCATCTATTATTATAATGTGCCTACCCTTGACTTATATCATCAGTAAACCTCTTAGAAGTACTGTTAAGATGCAGTTTTAAGGATGTGTTGGTTGGTTGTAATGGAACACACTGAATTACAACGAGTAAAGAGCACTGTTTCAGTTATAGATATTTACAGAGTTTGAGTAGTCTTAATTACATTCTAATTCCACGAGACAAGATTTCTTTGTTTTCCCTGAATCTTACTCTTCAATTTGTCAAAAAATTTAAGCAGGGTACTTAAATCACAGATTTGGTGAAATCTGAGGCACAAAAAGAAATGAGATTTGTGGAGGCTACTTAAAAAGCTAAACATTGATCTACCATTTGATCCAGCAATACCACTCTTGGGGATATACCCAAAAGACTGTGACACAGGTTACTCCAGAGGCACCTGCACACCCATTTTTATTGCAGCACTATTCACAATAGCCAAGTTATGGACAGCCAAGATGTCCCACTACTGACGAATGGATCAAGAAAATTTGGTATCTATACACAATGGAATTTTATGCAGCCATGCAGAAGAGCAAAATGTTATCATTCGCTGGTAAATGGATGGAATTGGAGAACATCATTCTGAGTGAGGTTAGCCTGGCCCAAAAGACCAAAAATTGTATGTTCTCCCTCATATGTGGACATCAGATCAAGGGCAAACACAACAAGGTGATTGGACTTAGATAACAAGATAAAAGCGAGAGCACACAAGGGAGGTATGAGGATAGGTAAGACACCTAAAAAACTAGATAACATTTGTTGCCCTCAATGCAGAGAAACTAAAGCAGATACCTTAAAAGCAACTGAGGCCAATAGGAGAAGGGGACCAGGAACTAGAGAAAAGGTTAAATCAAGAAGAATTAACCTAGAAGGTAACACACACGCACAGGAAATCAATGTGAGTCAACTCCCTATATAGCTGTCCTTATCTCAACTAGCAAAAACCCTTGTTCCTTCCTATTATTGCTTATACTCTCTCTTCAACAAAATTAGAGATAAGGGCAAAATAGTTTCTGCCGGGTATCGAGGAGGTGGGGCAGAGAGGGAAGGGGTGGGGTGGGTAGTAAGGGAGGGGGTGGGGGCAGGGGGGAGAAATGACCCAAACATTGTATGCACATATGAATAAAAAAAAAAAAAAAGAAATGAGATTTGGCAGTAAAGTGGCTGTATTACTTAATGAATGGCATGGTTCTAGTCAGAAGTACTTACATCAATCCCTCAAGTCAGTTGCGTATCTTCTCTTTCAGGAAGTCTCCTCTGTCCCAGAATGATGACAAGGGACACCTGAAGGCATAGCTCTGTTGATGCTCTCACAATAGATCTCTTGTTATTCTGAACTTATGGTTCTTTGTTTCCAGGTTTTAATCAAATTTGGGCCTCGCCCACAGAACTCATCCAGTACATCTTAAAATTTCCTTTACAATATTATAAACTTTAAAAGTCTTATTGTTCATCAAGTCCATTGGTTTCTGATTCATGTAATGTTTGAGTTGTGATGCGGTCAATCTTGAACACCACATGTTCAATATCAATACATTGATCAATGTGTTAAAAGTAGAATATAAAGTTAAATAAAAGAAAGAAAATTAAAATTGTTCATATTGTACCACTAAGAAATAACAAAGGTTTTTACTATATATATTAGATGTAACTTTAACATTGGATTTCTTACTTATATTTTCATAGAAGCCACCTGAATTTTAATGTTTAATTTCTTTGTTTTAGTTTGCTTTATCTTGAGAGAAATGTTTACTTACTAGCAAGTGTGGCTGTGTGGTTGAGAGCACAGACTCTAAAGGTAGGCTATTCTGACTCTAGTCTAGACTTCATCACATTACTTTAAGGTTTCTGTATTTCTTTCTTTTATAGGGATTATGATGGGCTAATATATCTAAAGCCAGTAGGCCTGGCATAGAGTATGTGATAAATGCTCACTGTCTTGTAAGTGGCTGATTTTACTACTACCACTGCTACATTTACCCAGGAATGACTAACTGTCCTCACTTCATCATACATAGAGCCCTCCCACACCCTCTGGTTATTTTCAATCAGATCATTTCAGCCTTTCATGTTTCCCTGTGGGTTGGAGGTATGGCTCAAGAGGTAGAGTGCCTGCTGAGCAAGCTCAAGGCCCTGAGTTCAAACTTTAGTACCACCAGAAAAGGGAGAAAAAAATTCAGTATATACAGAGGTTAAGAACTGAAAATATAACCACAAACAAGAACCCTAATACACTGCTGATGAAACATAAGATGGTGCTTCCACTTTGGAAAACAGTTTGGCACTTTCTTAAAATGTTAAAACAGATCTGCCATAATGGCACAGCAGTTCACTCTATGTGTCCACACACACCTTCCACATAGACGTGTTCCTAGCAGTGTTACTCATGATATCCTAATTGGTAAATGAATAGACAAAATGTGTTGTGTTTGTACAGTGGAATACAACTTTGTGTTAAAAAGAAGTTACTTATACATACTTTGCCTAGATAAACTGAGCAGTGTGTGAAATGAAAGGAGTGACACAGCAGAGACCACCTGTTGTGCAATTGTTTATGTGAAATGTTTGGAAAGGGCAGATCTATAGAATGGAAATGTAGCTTGTAGAACTTTAGGGGTAGATGGATGGATGAGCAGTCAGTGTACATGTGGAATCTTTCAGAGGTAATGGAAATATTTTAAGACAGATATATAGTGATGGTTGCAAAACATGGTAAATGTATCGAAAATATCATTGAATTGTATACTCGAAATGGATGAGCTACATGATTTTAAAATATGGCACAGTACCATTGACAGTAAGAATTTTTTTGGTGGTACTAGGGTTTGAACTCAGGGCCTTAGACTTGCAAGGCAGTGCTCTACCATTTGAGCCACACTCTCAGCCATTTTTGTTTTAGTTATGTTTTCAGATAGAGTCTTGCAGTTTTTAGCCCTGCCTGCCTCAGACCACAATCATCCTACCTACCTATGCTTCCTCCATAGCTGGGATGACAGGTGTGCACCATCAATGCCAAGCTTTTTCTTTGAGATAGGGTCTTGCTATCTTTTTTGCCAGAATTTGCCCTGAACTTTGATCCTTGCTGGGGTTGTAGCTTGAGACAAGGTGCTCAGAATAATAAGAATTTCTTCATATAAGGTCCGCACATTGAAAATAAGCGCCACGGTTCAAATTTCTTTTGTGCCTGTGTTTCCCCAAGTCTTCGGCACTATCGTTGAGGAAGCTTGGTCTTTGTCCCTCAGCGTGGATCTCACCAATGGCCTCCTGCTTTGTGCATGTGATGTTTCTGTGCATTGACTCTTAGCACACCCTGGGACTCGGGTGGTATAGTGTGGGGACAGGACTACTTCATGGGTGCTGTTATGCTCACATTTATTTCAGTTAGAATTTTGGTTGCCAGTCTTTTTCCTTTTTGAAACTAAAACTTAAATCTGAAATAGGTAGAACATGATAGATTTGAAGATTTACACTTTGAAGCTGGCCACAGTGGCTCAAACCTGTAATCATAGCTACTTGGGAGGCAGAAATTCAGAGGATTTTAGTTTGAGGCCAAACTGGGCAAAAAGTTCATGAGACCTTCATCTCAACCAATGACTGGGCACAGTGGTTGTGCCTGTAATTCCAGCTACATAGGGAAGCACAAATAGGAGGATCAAGGTCCAGGTTGGCCCAGGCATAAAGCAAGACTCTATTTTGAAAGTACCCAACAAAAAGTGCTGGTGGAGTGGCTCAAGTGATAGAGCACCTGCCTAGCAAGCATGAGACCCTGAGTTCAAACCCCAGTAGTCCAAAAAAAGGACTGAAAAAAAAAAAATTACACCTCAGCTTCTTTTTTTCTCTTTTTAACAGCTAATGAACAGTTTTAACGTGAAGCTAAATGAAAGCAAGACATATTAACAGAATTGCTTAAATATGAGGTTAAAGGTGTCTCCTGTGGCTTCTAGTCTTACCCATGTGGCTTAAATTTGTATTTGCTCTTTTCAAGTGTCCTTTGATAAACCGCCCATCTATACTTTTTCTGGAGTTATTTGCAAAAACAATGATTGATCGTTGTAGAAAATACAATTAAACAAAAAGAAGAAACT